TTTGACACCTGTCTAACCCATCACAAATATTAAAATTTTAAATACAGTGCATATAGAGAAGGTATTATTTGGAGATGAGTGCACCATATGTGATCTCAAGCCATGGCTGGTAAATACATTAATACTTCGAAGAATGCATTTGGGTGTTGGTCCAACTTATGCAACGGAATAAACGCAAATATCAGCCAAAAATTTATTTTGTCTGCCTCTAAACCTTAGGAAGGGCCTAGTATCAACTCATAGCACATTAGAGTATGAACATATTTGAAATTGAATCCAGTTTAAATCCTTCCTATTATGTTTGACTGGATTTGTTCTTTTCATGATTGCATGTTTTCTAAGCTATTAGCTTGTATTTGGCTTTATCAGAATACAACCTGTGACCAGCTGGTTATTAGTAGCTTGATACTATTTGCTAGTAGCTATTGTGCTTGTGGGAAATACTCATTTAGTTTCAACCTCTTATTGGTAATATTATAAAACTACAAAATTATATTTTCTTGTTGGGACAAATGTCAGTTCTTTTAGGCAGCCACCAAACTCATCATTAATGTGCAAGAAGGATGCCACTTGCACCAATAGTAGTTAAATCTTCTGCTTTGACTGTTAAGTCATTCAGGTGTTCTTGTGTTAGTGGTAAATATGCACTGTTCAGTCTAACATGGTGTCTTTTGACATGGTTATGGATGCAAAGGCACCATTGAGAATGGATGAATTGAATTTTAATTCAATTCCAGGTCCAAGGATGATGAAAGCTCTCTTGCACTAAATCTAGCTTCTGATTTATTAAACTCTAAAAAAGGTTTTTCTTTTAGCTGTTTTGATACAGTTACTACTTAAAAAACTACCATGCTAATGTTTGCCATAATAAATGTGATCCGCAACAAGATATGTTCTAAAAATAAATGTATTTCAGTGTTTTTAGGAATTAACATACTGATTTTACTTAACAGAGAACTCGATCGATTTTTAATAACCTCGTATAATATTTTTATAAAGGAAAATTTTGCTTCCAATTGGAGGTTGGGACCAATAAGAGTGTGTGGGTTTAAAATGGGTATTACTAATATACTAGGTGCAGACCTGACCCAACCTGAAGGAGTTAAGCCCTTCTGTTACAAACCTTAGTAAATCAGTATTGCATTGTTTGCATTTTGGTATTAGAAATGTTTTAAAGCACCTTAACCAGACAAATGAATACCTTCTGTTTCTGTAGCCCCGCTACTATCCTACAGAGGATGTACCTCGCAAACTGAAGAGCCATGGGAAGAAGCCCTTCAGCCAGCACAAGAGGAAGCTGCGGGCCTCCATCACACCTGGAACGGTCCTCATCCTGCTTACTGGTCGCCACCGTGGAAAGGTGAATGCTTGACTAAAAAAA